GTGCTGAGTTGTAGTTACTATGTGAACAATCTCATGAATAGACCTTTCATTCCGTAGTCCTCAGAATAGCCAATGCCCAGCTACCCCTTCCTACTGGCACTATGGCCTAATTTGGGTTTTTTGTTTTGGCTCACTCCCTATGATAGTGGATGAAAGGAACGTGTGAATGTCAGAAAAAAATGCAGATGTACCCCACTTTAGGCTAGAAAAATCATAAGCAGACAAATTAGAAGTGATACCTGATTTAGAATCTAACCACAAGATTATAGAAAATAATGTTTGTTTCTGTTTTAATATTTAGATCTTTAATCCATTTGGATTTTAATTTAGTGCATGGTGAAAGATAAGGGTCTAATTTTAATCTGTGGCAGGTTGACATCCAGTTTTTCCAACACCATTTATTAAAGAGGCTATCTTTCCTCCACTGAGGATGGTCAGCTCCTTTGTCAAAGATGAGGTAGCTGAGTACATCTGCATTTGTTTTTGTGTCTTCCAGTCTGTTCCACTGATCCTCAGGCCTATTTCTTTGCCAGTACCATGCTGTTTTTATCACAGTGGCTTTGTAGTATAGTTTCAAATTGGGAATTGTTACACCTGGTGCCATGTGACTGTTGCCTATAATGGCTTTTGCTATTCTAGGTCTCTTGTGGTTCCAAATGAATTTTTGGATTCTTTTTTCTAGTTCTGTGAAATATAGTGTTGGAATTTCAATTGGCATTGCATTGAATGTATATAGCAGTTTTGGTAGTATGGCCATTTTCACTATGTTGATTCTTCCTACCCAGGAGCAGGGGATATCTTTCCATTTTTTTATATCCTCTTCGATTTCTTTTTTCAGAGTGCTGTAGTTTTCAGTGTAGAGATCTTTTGTTTCTTTTGTTAGATTGATTCCTAGATACTTCATTTTTTTGGATGCTATTGTAAAAGGAATTTTTTCCCTTATTTCTCTTTCTGTCTGTCTGTTATTTGTGTATAGAAAGGCTATTGATTTTTGGGTATTCACCTTGTATCCAGATACTCTACTGAATCTGTCCATTAAGTCTAGAAGTTTTTTGGTGGAGTTTTTTGGATCTTCAATGTAGAGTATCATATTATCAGCAAATAATGATAGTTTAACTTCTTCCTTTCCTATCTTTATTGCTTTAATTTCTTTCTCTTGTCTAATTGCTGTGGCTAATGTTTCTAGAACTATATTGAAGAGAAGTGGTGATAATGGGTATCCTTGTCTTGTTCCTGGAAGGTTAGTTAGGCAGAACTCTGGAAGACATTGGTATAGGAAAAGACTTTTATGAACAAATCCTCAGTAGCACAGGAACTAGCAGATAGAATCAACAACTGGGATCTCACCTTACTAAAAAGCTTCTGTACTTCAAAAGAAACCATCAGCAGAACTAAGAGACAATCTACAATGTGGGCAAAAATTTTTACCAGCTGTTCCTCAGACAAAGGACTATTATCAAGGATATATAAAGAACTCAAAACAATCAGTCCCCCCAAATATAAAGACCCGACTCAAAAACGGGCATCCAAAATGAACAGACATTTCTCATACAAAGAAGTAAAACCAGCAAGAAAATATTTGAAAAAATGTTCCACATCACTGGTCATTAGAGAAATGCAGATGAAAACAACACTGAGATTCCACCTCACTCCACAAAGAATGGCTGCTAAAAGAAATCACACAATAACAAATGTTGGCGGGGTTATGGGCAGGAAAGAACCCTCCTCCATTGTTGGTGGGAGTGCAAACTGGTGCAACCACTATGGAAATCAATATGGAGAAACCTCAAAGAGCTTGGACTGGAGGTTCCATTTGACCCAGCCATCCCTCTGTTGGGTATCTTTCCAAGAGAACTAAAAGAATCATATCACAGAGAAGTATGTGCACCCATGTTTATAGCGGCACAGTTTGTAATAGCTAAATCTTGGAAACAACCTATTTGCCCATCCGTTGGAAACTGGATAAAGAAGTTGTGGTTTTTCTATAAAATGGAATATTACTCAGCCATAAAGAGCGAGAGAATAGATTCATTCATAGGAAAATGGATACATATTGAAGATATACTCCTAAGTGAAATAAATAAGTCCCACATGTGTAAATACCAAATAGTTTCCCTGGTGTGAATATTCTGCAACAATGCATAAGATTCTAATAAGATTACTGACATTTAGAAATGGGAGGAAAGGAGCTAAAGGTGTAGGGAAGGTGTGATACGTAGGGGAAGAACAAAAAGGGAAAAGAAAAAAATGTGAGAGAATGAAAAGATGAAAATAAAGTGTTTGTAGATGGGGAGGGGAGGAGGGGGTGAAGGGAGGGCAGAGGTAAGGGGAAAATATGAGAATCAAGACTTGGCATGTAGAGGTACAAGATCCCAACAATGAATGTAACTGTACTGTATCCCTAAAATGTACCAATAAACTCAATTAAAGCTGAAAAAAAAATAAAAAAATTAAAAAAAAGAAAATAATGTTTGTCTTACATTATTTTTTCTAATGAACTATCTCCTGTGTGAACAAAATGACATTGCTGTTTTACAGGAGATTTCATGGGACACTGACTATGGTATGGTTGGGTAAGGTCAAAACTGTGAAAGCAGAAGCCTGTGACAGGAGGGTTAGGTCCCAGTGCTCTATCCAAACTGGATCTGAAACCTGTCCCTGAGTCTCATTACAGGGGACAGTTTGGTCAGAACAGAACACATGGTGCCAATGATCTTTGCTTAAGTTGCTCCATGATTTATTTGTAATTTCTGAAGGAAGCCCTTTCAGTAAATGAATGGTGCTGTTAATTTTACAGTATCTGTTTTACTTAACTTTGTTGATCTTAGGTATTTATACAATGGTTTGTTTCTTCACCTGAGAAGATTCATAGATGGAAGAAAATTAAGCTCTAGTACAGATGCTATGGAAAAATGAAAAGCTTCATAGTAGATATCCCTATTTCTATACTAATACCATTGCTTTTCAATGCACTGAAAAGGTGCAGTTATTTTTTTTTCTTAATTTTATCACTGGAAAATATTGTAGAGACTGTCACTATTTCTTGAAGACAAATTTTTCATATGTGCATTCTCACTCTACTTTGTTGATTTTGCTGACATGAAGTCTTCCACTTTTTACATATACCTTAGTAAAGGTAAGTTTAAGAGTAAAGAATGTTTCATGAATACCTAACACCTAAGTCAGTTCCCATGAGAAGAGTGAACAGTGTGTTCTTTGGAGAAATAGCGTATAAAAGTATACTGTCAGCATAGTGATGTTTATATGTACATTAACAAAACTTCAATGAAATTTAACAATTAATTCAGTCAATGCACTAGCTACTTTTCAATTGCTTAATAGCTACATGTACCTACTGGTTGCTCATTGGACAGTGCACAGGTAATATAGAGCATCTGTAGGATTGTGGCTGAGAACATTTCTCAGCATAACAAAATTCAAAAGTAAGATATGTAAATGAAACCCATTTATACAACTATATAATACATATGTTTCAATATTTTAGAAACATTCATAACTGAAAAGATCCCTGTATTTAAAGAGTACTACAAAATTGACAAGAACAAAATCTTTAGTTTATTTTGTAAAAATTTTCAGGAGATGAATGACCATTTTAAGAATAAAGAATGAGCAGAATAAAAAGAGAAATAACAGCAAGTGATATCCAAGGTTTACTATAAAGGCCTTGAGCAAATGACTTTGAATGTATATTTTGTCAGAATTTTACATGTTGACGACTTAGAAGATTAAAATTAAAATTGTAGCATAAAGAACAAAAATGAAAAGAAGGTAATTATCATATAAAAATTGCAAGTAACATAAGCTTCATAAACATAACCAATCATTTATTTTATTTGAAGCATCACTTGATCCAGAATTATTTTTTTTTTTAGTTTTTTTGTAGATGATCATTTCTCTGTTACCCAGGGTAGCCTCTAGCTAACTGCTGGTTTCAAGTGATCCTCCTGCCTCAGTCACCCAAGTAACTGGAAGTATAGGTGCATACCACAACACTTGTAAAAAGAGATTTTTTAAGCCATATGTACATATAAATCAAATACTTGAATTCATGTAATGTATGTTAGTATCTGTATTACAGCTTAATTGTCTTCCATCTATGAATCTTCTCAGATTAAGAAACAAACCATTGTATGAAATTTGCTTTCCAACTTATTGATTGTTAGGACATTGAAAGGAAAATTTCCTAATCAAGAATGTGTACGTTTAGGATTAGGGAGGTTCAACATTTGCTAAAAATGCATCAAAATACAGGTCTATTTATTTTTCTGTCATGGCTCATATATCACCCAAATTTGCCAAATTATTGACTTGCCTTATTTCACATTGAGAATTTTATGCACCACGCCTTCCTAGAAGCATTAAAACGATAGCCACTAAAGCCTGTACTGCAGAGAATGTGAACAGAAAGCACCGATACACACACACACACAGTCACACTGTGCTGTGTTTGACAACCATGTCTAAGTGAGGAAAGTGGATAAGTGAAGTGGGGATTTTGTGAGAAATTAAATACAGCCTGTGAACCTGGAGTGGGTTTGCAGGCATAGAAAGGAAGGGTGGGGAAAGTAAGGGCCATTCTGTGAGCTCATCCAGCACTGATTTACATTTACTAAATTCTAAAAATGGAGTTCATTATGTACCTGCATCTTAATGCTCTGTTGCAAGTATATTTTACAATATCTACTGTTTATGGAAGTAATGAATAAATATTGCCTCTAGTATGAACCCCGTGTGGTTAGTTTACTAGACGTTTTTCTAGTAAGGATATCATAATTACTCATGTAATCATATACACTCTGCAATCTTTTAGTTATCACACTTTACTGGAACACATGTTTATCTTCTTGCAATAAAGTAAATATTTGCTGTAGGACAGTAATATTAATATAGTTTTTGTAGTGTTGGCTTTGCCAAGCTATGTACAGCTCATCTGAGTTAACTAAATTAAGCATTAATACAGTTTAAAATTCTCTTCTCAGAGATAGAAACTTGAGACACAGAAGGAATCCGAATTATCTCATAAGGAAAGAAGTTTTCACTTCCTTTGAAAAGCAGCAATGCATTGGAATGAGAGTTCTTCTGCAATGTACAAATAAAATAAAATTGCCTGACATGTTGTTCCTTAGCATGATTTTCCATTTTGTGTTTTAAGGTTTAGCTCTTCATATTTAATATATCTGGAAATTTAGAATGTAAAATTTTAAGTCTCATCTTGATAATGAATAATGATTATCCCCAGAATGTCTTTTGTAATGTAAGCCTGTACAACAAATAGGCTTTTGAAAACCTTCATGTGGAAATTAAAACAAAAAAACAATGATGAGGTAAATTAAGATGTGATGAATGGAGTTAATTATCACCTAATTTCGATCAGTTTGTCAACCTCAATTCTTCCTTTCCGTGCTAAGATGTTCACAGGCCAACAATGTGGGAACATAAATCATCCCCTAAAGCTTCTCCTTTTGGTCTCTGCTAATCTAATGCTTTTCATTTAACAAAGTGCACATAAAGTTTAATCACAGGCCAAAAAATGTGAAGTAAATCCCTCAAGACTGATACTAATCATATTAGGATATTGAATGGGCATACTAAAGTGAATGAAATGAAAAGAGGGATTAAGATACACGCATTTACATGCATTTAAAAATCCATGCCCAGTCCATCATTAGCAAAGTCCCCTTTACTCCTCCCTCACCCACCTCCCTCTCCAAATTATACTGAAACCAGATGGAATTGGAATGGGATGAGCTGTATGTAAATTATCCTGAAGTTCAGTCTGTACTGTCATAAAGTAGAGCTTCTCAAACTTTAATGTGCACATGAATCATGTGAGGATCTTATTAAAATGCAGACTCTGATTCAGTAAGGGGACCAAGCATGGAGACCAAGGTTCTGTATTTACAATAAACCTCAGGGTGATGCTTGTATTCTGATCGACAGACATCATTTTGAAGAGCAGTGTTTTAAAGCAAGGTATTATTGGCTTTTCCAAATTGTACACTGTAATATTCCACAGGTTAAACTTCATTGTTCATGTTGACCGGCAACTTAATAGTTTGCTACATACATTCTATATGATAGCTTAAAATTGGGCTAATTATGATTTTAACAAACATCACAAATATGACAATAGTTATTATTTGATTAAAACTTAAAAATCCAGCATGTACCTAGACAGAACTGATAAATAATATCTGTATTTCCAACAAATTATTTATAATTTGTACTTTTGTCATGGTCAAAAACTGTATTAATAATGTAATTTCTAGCCTATGAGCTATTAACTTTTTAATGACATTTGTAAAACATTAATCAATTTTATGAGAAATCCCCCTAAAAGATGATGCTTTCCTGTCACTTTTTATTTCAAATTCATTAAGCATACTCAATTTAATTGTCTGAAAAAGCCACGCTCAGGGCATTTTTATTTACTATTTTATTTTGCCACTGACAGTTACTTATATTTTACCCTTTTATTATTCACAGCCAGAAAGATAAATATGTTTTTCTTTCATTGCTTCACAAAGAGAAAAGCCAGATAATGGTCAAATGCATGGTTTCAAAGCCCAACCCTGAAAATGCATGTTTGTACTGGTTTAAAATAAACTAAAATATATTACATTTGCTTTGTAAAATCCAGGACAAAAATTATAGCGACAGAAGTATTTATGTATACCTGTATTTTCCCCGAATTATATTTTCTAAGCAAATGCTGTCACTTTTCTTTCTTATTTATTTATTTATTACCGGGGATGGAACTTGGGACCTTATACTTGTGAGGCAACGGGGAGGAACCACGGAGCTAAATCCCCGGCTCATGTATTTTATTTATATATTTTACTTATTAGCCCCTCATGTTGTGCAAGGTATGATCTCAAGAAATCACATCAAGATGTTATGCTAACCTTCAAAGAGGGAGATGTGATCACTTTCAGGTGACATCTTCTCCAATGATGTTTTTTCCCCTCTCTTGTTGGAATCTTTCACAGATTCATCTGACTGGTTCCCAGGATGTCTCTTAAACGGTGAACACAAACTTCGCTCAATTTCTGCTTCCTGTTAGAAGACATTAAAGGGATGTGTGTTAAAAGCTATCAGTGGGAAACAGATGTGGTTTTCAGGGTTTTAAAAGGCAGAAGAGAGAGAGGGAGGGAGTTTCTGTCATGAGTGACGTTTTTCACTATCCTTTGGGGAAAATTTTGATAACTTTGCCAAGAACTGCAAAAAAACATTTGACGCTTAGTTTACTTCTCTGCCACTGGTTTCACTTCTGAATTAGCTTTTCTTTCATGTATATTTTCCCCCTCTCATAAAAGAGTGAAAGTGGAAATAAGGTCACAATGGAGTATAATATATGTTAATAGATGCAACTTCCTAGGCCTGAGAAATGTCAGTGAGGGACTCTGAGATAAGAGCAATATATCTACATTGTACGCTAAAGACAGAAGGAAATGAGTTTTTTAAATATCATGTCACCCTATACTGATAATCTTAGCAATTATATAGCCACCAAATTACAAACCCATTCAAAATACCATATAGTGAATACAGTTTGTGAATTCATAACGGTTATGAAATTACTTCTTTGAGATAGTAATCAAAAGAAATCAAAGAAACATTGAAAATATTTAAAATACATAGTCTAGCATTTTGTATTTTTTTTTT